ATAAGAAGAAGTGAAGGTTTTGGGGTTTTCTTTGGGATTTTTTTTTTCGTTTTTGGGGACAGGATCAACTTAGTATTAAATATCTACATAAAACCTTTATTTTATTTTAGCCTAAGAGAGTTGAATGATTTGAGCCAAGAATGGTGTTGTGAAACATTAAGGTTTTCATTTATAATTTTTTGCAAAGTTTTATTGATGAGTGAGTCAGTCAGTCCTGCTGAGAAAAACCACAGACCTGGGTCAGAGGTTTAATTTCTTTTATCCAGTTTAAATCACTCCAATACAATGTAGATTTTGGGGGGAAGGGTGGGGGCTTGTTATTTGTATTGTAATAGATTCAGAATAAACAGTAAAGTTTTCTAACTCCTGAAACCAGGACCAACTCCCTCTGTTTGACTCAGTATCAGGAGAACGTTATTGTATTTCTATATGTTTGACTGTTAAATTCACTGAATCCTGAACTCCAATCTTCACTTCATTATTCATATTTAGTATCCAGCATTATTACAGCGTTTGGCCGTAGTAGGAGGCCCAATGTGAAGAAGATGTGATAGTTTGGAAACCAGACAGGCCACTGGCTCAGACGCCACACATTCTGTCTTTCTTCTCTGTTTGTCAGCACTTCCAAACATGGCTACCTGCAGAGAGCAACAGACAGCAAGGCTGACTCGTAGGGATGCCAGGCTCCTGTATATTATGTTTTTAGCATACCTTGGATTTTTTCACCGTAGCCTAAGTTACTCCAAACAGAGCCGAGCAGTCCAAGTCCTGCTGATACCAAGGCCGCTCCAAACAAACCTGTTGCTGTGATACAGTTCCTGTCCCTCGTCCCCTGAGAGGCCGATGAAAGATAATTGCAGGGGAACTTATTGCATGCTGGGTTTTTTTTTTGCATCGTTGTACCATGCAGAACTCAACCTCTCTATGCCTTCAACTAACATTTGTAATATCAGCATTTTTACAATGGATTCGTGATTAACCAGCCTTTTACAGGCCTGTATATAAATTACATTACGAGTGGAAACATGAGAATACATTTCTGGGGACTGCAATAGAAATGGGGAAAAAAAGAAGAAAAAAGGTTGGATTAGTGACTGTTTGAGTTTGAGAGAAGCACAGAAAGAAATGAATCACATTACATTATTTATAACCTCAATAAACGTTTGCCTGAGTATTTTATGACCTTCGTTAGTAATTTCAAGTTTTTAAAAACAGCAATAAGTCAATGTTATAAACCATGTTGTGAACAGAGGGAAACAGATGACTAGGTATGACAGAAAGACAGTTAGTTGGTTAACTGTCATTTTGGGATATTTGTAAATACACAATAATTTTAGTTCAGCGACTGGATGTCCTAAAATTTAGTGTATATATATATATATATATATATACCACAAAAAAATATATATATATATATATATATATATATATATATATATATATATATATCTTCTTTCCTGTCCAGTTGGTATATTGCATGGAATTACAGCAAAAGGTAAGTTGTTGATGCTACTACAACAACAACAACCAGTTATATATATATATATAAAAATTTTAAATAGATAAAATAAAAAATAAAAAACAAAAATAAATACATAAATCAAGAATAATCTTAATTATCGGTCATAAGAAAGTGGACACAGTGACATCAGGTGTTAAACATCTTCAGTAGGAGACAGATCTGAACCAGTCAAACAGGCAGTAAAGTCAAGTACATTGACTGTCTGTCATTAAAGACACAAAAAATGATGGCAGTTTTTTTTAAAATCATATTATTGTAGGTGTAACTCTGAAAAACTGACATTTATACATTATATTCCACCGCAGAGCACAGCAATCAAAGAGCTGCTTTTCTACTCACCGTCCCATTGATTTCTTAATGGGTTTTAAATTGAAGGAGACAGAATTTTATTCACTTTCTCCCATCCAGTGATTTGTTTTGATCCAAGGGTTGTTTTGCCCTTCGTGTGATTTATGACTTCTCTCAGCAACTAAATTAGGGACTAGATGTAATAAAGAAGCACAAACACATCTCAGGTCCCTCCACTCCTGCCTTCAGGATATCATAATGCACCAGAACAAACTGAATGCCGTCCCTGATTTTCCATGTCATGTCTCCAAATAGTCTTGCATTTTAAACTCAGACGGCAGTTGTGTAAGAATTCTCAGCAATTTAGTCCTCAAATTGTGTCTGTCATGTGCAGTTTAGTCTCCCCGCACAGTCGTGCACGGCCCCTCAGATTGTGGCTCATGTATCTGTCATGTCTCCATCTCTGCACCTTTACAGCTTCACTCAACAGCTCTGGCTGCAATTACAGCAGAAGTTGTATAAGGACACGGGAGGCAAAAGAATTTAAGGTCCATCCCTCTCTCTCTCTCTCTCTCTTGTTCGCTCTCCCTGTCTCACTACACACAGACAGAATAATTTTGGTATAGACATAACACATTCCCTCGCTTCATACCTCAACATCAACTTTTACAAATCTACATCTAATCTCAAAACCATAACTCTAATCTGACCATAATTCTAACCCCAACTCTCTCAC